TGTGTGTGTGTGTGTGTGTGTGTGTGTGTGTGTGTCTCAATACAGACTATCCCTGACTTAATGATGGTTCAACTTACAATTTTTTTTTTTGAGATGGCGCGATCTGGGCTCATTGCAACATCTGCCTCCTGGGTTCAAGCAATTCTCCTGCCTCAACCTCCTGAGTAGCTGGGACTGCAGGCATGTGTCACCATGCCCAGCTAATTTTTTGTATTTTTGGTAGAGACAGGGTTTCATCATGTTGGCCAGGATGGCCTCTATCTCTTGACCTTGTGATCCATCCGCCTCGGCCTCCCAAAGTTGAATTTGATATTTCCTAGGGCTAGCGACTGGTATATTAAATGCATTTTCAACTTATATGTTCAATTTGCAATGGGCTTTTCAGGACATAACCCCATCATAAGAGTCAAGGAGCATTTGTGTATTTTTCTGTCTCTAAGTTGCCATTTTTCTCACTGTGCCTTGAGATCTGTCTCTCACCATTTCTACTTTTGTGTTTTTCTCTCTGGGTTACTGCCCTTTTTTTCCTGCTGAACAGAGCCAGCCATCTGTCTTTCCTGCAAGGAGCTTTAGAACTTTCCAGAAGTGGCCAGACTTCTTCCCTTTGGCAGCTTTCTAGAACTGTAGCACCAGTTTAGGGCCCCTGGGCAGTCATAATGTCTTGATTTTTGATGAGGACCTGAGTGAGCTTCAATACATAGTGCCTCAGGAAGTAGGATTTCCCCAGAGAAGACCTCAGTGGGGTCTTAGTGTCAAAGATGTTTGTCCCTTAACCCATACTCTGGTCCTAGATTTTGTGGTAGTGTGTTCATGGGAACTTGGGAAGTTTGTGGAGTGAGAGCAAGGAGGAGGGGCTCTGCACACAACTGGACCTACTGAGAAACAGGACCTGAACATGCCTTGCATTCAGCTGCCTCCTCCCCTGGATGGCACACTCCAGCTTTAGGGCCCTCCCGGAACAAGCACATTCCGCCCCCTGCACGCCAAAAGTTGTTAGGCAATCAGGAAATGTGGTTATCATTAAAGGATGGGGCTGGTATCGGGGAATCAGTGGGTCTACAGGATAGGCAAAGAACAACATAGCACACGGCAAGGTTTCGATGTAATTGCCTAGAAAACAGGAGGCCACCATCCTGATATTGGGCGTAGTGAAGCTCCATCGGGAGGGGAGCAAAGGTGTTTTCTAGGGGAGGAAAAGCTGCTGGAGCCCCTGTGTCCCATATGGGGCTGTGCTCACACCTCCATGGATGGAGGGGGGTGATCCTAGGGAGGAGCAGGAGGAGTGACTGTGAAGCCTCAGTCCTGGGGGGTGGGATCAAGTCCCGTATTGGGAGTCTTTCACCGCATCATCAGCTCCTAAACACCTTTCTGTACAAACTGCAGAAAGTTTGCAATGAGCAGATCAGGAATAGCTTATCTCAGAGACACAGTTGTACAGAAATGGATCACAGATATTTTATCCACACTCATGCTTCCAACTTGTTCCACTCTATTTATTTTTCACCCTCCTCTCTCCCCAAGCACAAGGGACTCTCCCCCCGCCTCTGACTCTTCCTGACCTGGGACCTCACTGCAGACAGAACAGGATATTACTCACCAAGGAGCTCTCTCATCTACTTCTACCCCCAACGCATCCTCTTGCACCTCACCCTCCCTCCCACCCCTTCCCACCGAGGCCCACTCCCTCTCTCCCCCACTCACTCAATCTGACCCTCACTCTCACTCTTCTTCTCCCCCACCCCACCCCGCCCATCTTGTCCCTCCCTGACTCACCTCAAGTCCCATTGACACAAACAAAAATTTCAGCACAACCTACTCCAACCGGTTTGGCTGAGGCGTGCAGCCTGTCATGGGGACAGAGACAGGTATAATCGGATGCTTGGATGCCTGCAGTTCATGAAGAACATCCGCTGCTGTGCACACAGAGACAGTCCCACATGTGTGCATAGCATGTGCGTGTACAGAGATACATAGGGAACACATGCTGGTGGTATGTAGCATGTTCTAGTTGTTTCTGTGTCTGTCTCTCCTGACTGAGGGCTGCTTGAGGGCAGGGACTATGTGTTGTGTGTCTGGGTCTCCTCCCTTGAGCCTGACACATAGTGGTACTCACTTAATGCCTGTTGAAGGAACCATGGGTGCAGGTGTGCACACAGCAGTGCCACTCAGACAAACACACACGATAAAGACACTATCGTGGCTTGAATTGTCCTCATTCTCAGGGCCCAGCATATGGGTGGGAGGAGGATAGGAGTGAGGCATGTGGGGAATGGGAATCCAACATGGAAGAGAGAACCGAACCAGGTTACCAAGCATTGGTCTTGAAAATCTTCCTCATCCAATATTTACTTCCAGCCCCCATCCTGGAATAAGCCTTCCCCAGCCTTCATCCTAGGAGAGGGTAGGAAAGACGTAAGTTTGAGGGCATATTCTCCTGAGCATGGCCCTTGTGAGACATACAGGGCTGAGGGAAGGAGGAGTCAGAGGGACTTGAGATAGAAACCCGTGAGAGGAGAGAGAGATCCCTACCTCTGTCAAAGGCCTGCAGAGGGCTGCCAGACTCCAGTGTTCCTCTCAGGCCCTGTGGTGCCCTTAGCCTACATCACAGCTGCCTCTGGTGTTTACTGGGACCCACACATACCCATGAAAAAATGAGTATGGCCATACCCTAAGACCACCTCTGGACAGTTGTGCCTCCTTTCTGTGCTCCATATGGCTAGAGCTCAGGGTAAGTGATGGAGGGGCCCAGCCAGGGGTTCACAGACATCCTGACTGGTAGCACTTTCACAGGGGTGTACTGTGAATGGAAAGGCTGAAGGAGATTGGATCCCCATCTTGTGATCTAACTGCTTTCCCACCATGCCTCAGTTTCTCCTGTGGCTTCCTCTACCTGGAGGGGTGAATCCGTGGGAAGGAAAGCAGCTCCTCCGAAAGCATGCACTAGGATCCAAGGTGTGATAATTATAATTATAACACAGGATGCTCCCCCTCCCATTCCCGCTGGCCCTACTCCACCTCTGCCACCGTGGATCTCAAAGCAGCATCTGGGTGGGGCTGTTCCCTTGGCACAGGTGGGGACTTGAACAGGGTAAGGGGTTAGAGGTGGAGAGAAACTGGGGAGTTCTGGCATCCAGCCTGGCCTTTAAGTGCCTCTGACCTGCAGGAAATAGCCCCTGAAGAAGAGGTCACTGCCATGGTCATTGCTGAGAGTTGGGATCTAAAGCCAGAGTTGGGGTCACAGTCCAGCGACAGGAATAAAGTCCAGGTCACAACCGTAATTCATGGCCAGTCAGGATCTCTGCTTTACTGATCCTACTTCACCACCTTTTCCATCTGGACCGCTCGTTTATTCAGAAATTCAGGCCTTCACCAAAATCTCTTCAGTTCCCAGGCAATGCTGTGGCCTGTCCTAGCATGGAAGACGGAGACAAGATTACAATACAAGCCCAACTTTCAAGGTGTTCACAGGCTACAACTCTTGTCCTGTCCCACAATTTAATGCATTTACGGAATCCCTGGCACACAGCAGGCCTCAATCAGTGTTTTTTTGACTTGAAGCTTACAATTTAGTTAAGGAGATAAGATGTGCACAAATTATGAGCACGTAAGCTATAATAAAAGGACTAGCAAAGGCTGAGGAAGAATAGAAGAAAGATTACTTTGGGTGGGAGGAGCAGAGAAGGCTTCACGAAGATGTGGCATTTGGGGTTGGCTTTGAAAGATGAATAAGAGTCTAACAGGTCGAGTCGGTGTGGTGGTGGTAGAAAATCCGCATGGAACGACCCTTCCTTATGGCTCCTTTATTCCTCCTTTCTGCCTCCTCCAGATGGAAGGGTCCTACTGTAAAACTTTAATCTATATTTTTTTCTTCTCCCACGTCTATCGCTATATTTACCTGGTTCTTTTTTGTAGTCCTAGTCTGCAAGTGATCTTGCCCCTCCTCTTCACTAAATTTTCAGTGGCCTGAGAATATGCCCTCTTCCTCTGGCTATCCCAGGGAGGCCAGTAAGGTTTGGTGTAACTTGGCAGTCACATCTGATGCATTCGGAATGGAAACACATGGATGAAAGTACTTATAGGAATACAGGTCCAGAGTGCTTGAAATTAAGATTGTCTTTGCAAAGGACAGACATATGGTCTTGTCCAATCACCTTGGAGTAAAATGGGTAAAATGACCATGGAGGCTGGGCACGGTGGCTCACGTTATAATCCCAGCACTTTGGGAGGCCGAGGTGGGTGGGTTATGAGGTCAGGAGTTCGAGACCAGCCTGGCCAACATGGTGAAACCCCATCTCTACTAAAGATACAAAAAATGAGCCGGGCGTGGTGGTGGGCGCCTGTAATTTCAGCTACGAGGCTAAGGCAGGAAAATCGCTTGAACCAGGGATTTGGAGAGCTGAGATCGCGCCACTGGACTCCAGCCTGGTGACAGAACGAGACTACATCTAAAAAAAAAAAAGACCATGGAGACGTGGAGCGCAACCCTTCTCCTCAGGTTGTGCTGCTGCGCTTTTGGGACTCCTGGCCAGGTAACAAGTGTGGAAGCTGAGAGAGGGCCCTGATAGGGAAGCCAGGAACCTGTAGGGCTAATTCCTTGGCTTCTCCTATGTGGAGCTGGGGTTAGATAAGTTACATAAGCTCTTTCTCAGGGGTCTTTGAACTACTTCCCTACCTCAGCGATAGAGGTGTCTAAGCAAACCATGAGACTCCTCTGGCAAGGCCCTCCGCACTCTGGGCCTCGGCCATCTCATCTGAAGAATGAAGTATATAGGCGAGCACCGACAGACTCCTCCTCGGTTCTGGCCTTCTCTGATTCTGTGGCTCCAAAGCTGAGACCCTCCAGGAGATCCAGGAACTTGTCAAGGCCCCCAGGAGGTAGCAAGGCTAGCTGGGGTGTGGGACGCTTGGGTTCCTTTCTACCCACAAGGGCCCTGCCCCCGTTCATCCTGGCCTGGCCTGGTGCCCTGGGCCTCCCTTCGCCCCCACCCTTGCCTCTCCCTTCATAACCCCTTCCACATACTTACAGGTAAAGCCTGGAGCTGAGGATGGGACCCCACCGCCCCCACCCAGGTCCTTCCCTCCTTCCCTCCCTCCCTGGCGCCCATTAGCTAGCGCAGGCCGTGGGAGTGGTGACTGCTGAGTCTCCGTGCCAGGCCCAGCCCCCAGAGACGCACCTGTTCTGACCTGCTGAGCAGGTTCCCAGGTTTCTGCCGTCGTTGTTGGCCACGGCGTGGGAAGCAGCTCTGGGGGAGCTCGGAGCTCCCGATCACGGCTTCTTGGGGGTAGCTACGGCTGGGTGGGTAGAACGGGGCTGGGGCCGGGTCCCCTAGTGGAGACCCAAGTGAGGGAGGCAAGAACTCTGCGGCTTCCTGCCTTCTGGGTTAATTCCTTATTCAAGTCCGCAGCGGCTCCCAGGGAGATCTCGGTGGAACTTCAGAAACACTGAGCAGTCTGCCTTTCAACCATGCCCCTGTCCCTGGGAGCCGAGATTTGGGGGCCTGAGGCTGGGCTGCTGCTGCTGCTGCTGCTGGCATCGTTTACAGGTAAGACTTGCCTGAACCATCAGGACACTTGCTTCTGGGCCCAGCCCGGCACTGACACACACGCACGCACACAAACACACATTCTCCTTCCTTTGACTCAACTCAGAGCCCGTCCCTCTCCCAGCGCCAGCTTCCAGCAGTGCCCCCAGAAAAGCCAATAGAGTCCTTCCCCTTCATGTTTCCTCCCAGCCCCGAGGCCAGGTCACTCTGTTTGGGATCCCTGACACCTCTGCCTTGCTTAGGCCTGAGCTGTCTTGGGGAATAGATGTGGTGACCCAGTGCAGGTGGGCAGGGAGATGGGACTTGTGAGGATCCTGTTTACCCCAGGGTTTCCGGAGGTGCCTTGGCCTACCCCCTGGGCTCTGGAACAACTGCCTGGAACTAGGGCTGACTCAGGGCTCAGCTGGTCTCTGCAGTCATCAGGGTGCAGGAAGCCTGATGCCCAGAGAGTGGATGGGGGATTTCTATTTCCTTCTCTTCTCTCCATGATGTTCTAGAGCACCAGGGCTGGGGCACCTGCTGGGGACTATGGGAGAGCTGAGAACGTCTGTCACTCTGGCCCCTCCCTTTCTCTAGGCACAGTATTAGGTGCCAGGGTGGTGATGAGGGGGTTTAGATGGGTGGGGGTCTAAGGTGGGAAACCTTCTGGCTAGGGTGTGGTTCCCTTTTGTTCATCTCCTGTTCCCCCATTGTCTAACTAGATGCCTTGTATTACCCCTCACCTCCCGCCTGTCTAATGTATATAGAGCAAATATGAATTCTCAGAATGTATAATCTTTAGAGTGGAGGAGAGCGTGTGTGCATGTGTGTGCACAGTGAGACCTCAGTGGGATTCCATAGGCTGTTCCTAAGGTAATGAGTAACAGAGAAATCTTTCTCCTTCAAAAGTTGGGGCCTGATCTGAACAGCACAGTTTGATTCTCAGCCCCAGGAGCAGTAGCGAGGGAGCCTCAGTTGCCCAGCAAGATCTAGCGGTGATTTCCCTACCTCTGTCTCCAGCCGAAGCTCTCAGGAGGGTAATAAGGCCTAGATATGTGGGTTGGTGAAGGTATGGGCTGCTCCCATTCTGCTTTTTTTCTCTCTCTTTTTTTTTTTTGAGATGGAGTCTGACTCTGTCGCTCAGGCTGGAGTGCAGTGGCATGATCTCAGCTCACTGCCACCTCCACCTCCCGGGTTCAAGCGATTCTCCTGCCTCAGCCTCCTGAGTAGCTGGGATTACAGGCTTATGCCACCACGCCCAGCTAATTTTTGTATTCTTTTTAGTAGAGATGGGGTTTCACCATGTTGACCACAATGGTCTTGAACTCCTGACCTCATGATCTGCCCGCCTTGGCCTGCCAAAGTGCTGGGATTACAGGCATGAGCCACCGCTCCCAGCCCCACTCTGATTTTATAATAGGTCATGGGCCCAGCCTCCAGTCACAGGATACTGAGCTCTACCCCTGCCATCCCCTCACAGTCCCCTACCACCTGTGTTTTAATTCCCATCTTCCAGATAACCCTTCTCACTTAAAAGGCAAAAAGGTGGGGGCCTAGTTGCTGCAGTCTGGGAACCCAGCAGTCACTTTCCTGTGGGATTTACCCACACCTAAAGAGAGGAGTCATGCCATCTCAGGACTTGGAAGAGATCAAAGAGATCACCACTTCAACTCTCATTTTACAGATGAAAAGACGGAGAGAAATAGGCAAGTGAGATCTGCAAGATTACTCAGTGTTAGAAGTAGACACATGCGCACATGAACACAAACATCTCTTTCCTGTGACTCTGAACTGAGAGCCAATCTATCTCTCCCACCCCCAGCTTCCAGTAGTGTCTCCAGAAGAACCAGTAGCCCTTCCCCTTCATGTTCCCTCCCAGTCCCCAGGCCAGGTCACTATGTCTGGGATCCCTGATTACCTCTGCTCTGTGTTTAGAGCATAACCAGGGTTACTGACTTGGTCTTCTGACTCAGAGTTCATTGAAGAATAGTACATTTGAGTGCACACTGGGTACAGCCTGGATACTAGATGCTGGAGATGCAATGGTGAATGCATCACATGATCCTTGCCTTCCTTTTCCATGATGGAAAAACTGTTCTTACTAAGAGGAGCTGAGGGAAGGGGAAAGGAGACCCACTTCTAGTTAGACCTCATGCAATGCCCGACAGTAAGGAAGGAAGGTTGGCCCCAGCTTGCCCCACGAGGGTGGTACCTGGTAGGAGGCCACTCTGCTGCTGCCGCAGCTGTCATCTGCACAGAAATGAGGTGGCTTTGGAGGCTGGAGACTTCCAGCCTGAGGATCAGATGGTCCCACCTCCACCACCACCACCATTCTGGCTCTTCTGTGGGTGGACATCTCCTTAAGGGCTCCCAGGAACCTGGAATGTTTCATGTCTCTGAGGAATCCTTGGACTGGGAAGTCAGGAGTCTTGGGTCCAGATCCCGTTTCTGCTATTAATCTGTTTGGTTACCTTGGGCAGCTACGAAACCAGACTTCAGTAGACCAAGACAATCTCTACTGGCCTTCCAGCTCTGTAATACGATGACTCTCTGATTGTCCAGCCCTGGCTGAAGCAGGGTGCTGGGGTGTTGGAAGAGCCACTGGCTCTGGCTGTGGAGATAGAAGTGGGGAAAGGTTCTGGTCCTGTCTCTCAGAGGGTACCAGAGTACCTTTCCCCAGGATACCGCCTTCCTGGCCCTACTGCAAATTCACCCCCCACCCAAATCCTGGGCCAAATCCTGGGCCCTAGGAGCTCTGAGCCCCAGGGCCCTGCCCCACCCCGACAGGGAAAGGAGCCCAGGCTTGGGAGGCGCCTCAGCACCACAGCCCTTTGTCTCCTTAAAGGGATGAGTTTCCGGGTGAGGTCTCCTCCCTTCTCCCTCCCCCATCTCTTGCCCTGGGGCTGAGGGACCCAAATCCACAAGATGCCCCTCCCCCATTAGGATTCTAGTCCCCAGCTCTTTGTCTGGGTTCAGGAACCCTGCAGGACCAGAGGGCGAGTGGTGCTCTGAATTCTGAGGTCTGCCTTCTAGGGGTTAGGATCAGCTTTCTCTCTGAGGTTAGTTTCCTAGAAAAGGAGGGGCCCATCCTTGCTACTCCTGTTTACAAAGGGGGGCAGGCCCTTTCCTGTAGGACCTACCCAAACCTGGGGAAGCCAGCAAGGGAGGTGGTGAGAATGGGGAGAATCCCAGGGAAGCCCTGTGACCCCAGTGACTTTGTTCCCACCCTAGTGTTTAAGGAGGATGGGCCAAGGAGGCCCCAGCTAGAGGTGGTGGTGAGGAGCCTAGAGTTCATGATTCCATCAGGCAGACCAGAGCCTCAGGATCCAGGGCTCCTCTAGGCAAAGTGAACGGGGGATTAGCTACTTTGGGGCACAAACCCAGTGAGGAGAGGATGATTGGATGTTCTAGCCTCTAAAAATTTGCCTTTGCTCTGACTAAAACTAGGCAGAGAGAAGGGATGGCGGTGATGTGAAGTGGTCACACCACTGCACTCCAGCCTGGGTGACAGAGTGAGACTCTGTGTCAAAAAAAAAAAAAAGAGGAGGTGAAGTTCAGAACTGAGGAGGCATCGGCCATGCCTCCTGGAGGAGGGCTGTGGAGAAGGCAGCTGGGGTCATTCTTTCACTAGAACAGGTAGCCTGTGGCCTCAAGAGCTTTTCTCATCATTTTCTGGCCGCCCCCACCCCCTTCCCTCTAAATTTAGTGTTTCCTGAGAGCTGGAGTTGAGGCTGTGACTTGGGAGGGGCAGACCTGGCTGCAGTGGGTGGAGAGGTGGTATGGAGCAGGGGCTAGGATCCCAGGAGTTTGGGAGAAGCTGAATGCTGGGTCTCCCACCCACAGTGTGGCTGTTGTGGTGACTCAGCCGGGCTCAGACTCTGGCTCCTGGGGGTTTAGGGGACTTATCTGTGCTGGGAGCTGTGTCTGGGCCAGAGCTGGGGCTGCCTCAAGGCCTGTCCTCCCCATTGTTCTCATCTCCCTTTGTGATTGTGTGGCCCCCCTCCCCAGACACTAATCTGTGGGTGGGCATTTTGCCCAGGCTGGGAAGCTCTCACTAAGCTGGGGGGCTTAGGACAATGGGGGGTAAGTGAGGGAGGTGGATGAAGGCAGAGAGGGAATCTTCTGGTTTCTAAAGTTCTTTAGCACTCCAAGGCCAAGGTCATGGGGGAAAGAGTGGATGGAAAAGGGTTTGCTGGGTTGTACCTGTCACCTGTCCTGGATGGGGAGCTTCTGTGCGTCCCTCCCAGGTCCCTTCTCAACCCAAACTCACCCAGACTCCAGCTCTCGGGTAGAGGCTGTTGCTGTGGGGTAAGGGGAGGCAGGAGTTAACAAAGGAGCCTGAGACCCTAGACAGCTTGGACCCCTCCCCCTAGCCCGAGGCAGGATTCCCCTCACTCCCCCCAAAACCACACCAGACAACCCTTACCCAGGCCTGCAGCCAAAGCTGGTTTTTCTGGTGGTGGCAGCAGCAGAGTCCTGACAGAGATTCCCAGGGAGAGGCCTCCTTGGGGGGCCAGAGCTGCTGAGGGCCCAGGGGAGTGGCTGGGAGTAGTGGTGAGAAGGGTGGGAGTCCTTTTATTAGGAACCTGAGGAGCAAGGGCAGAGAGAGCACTTGTTTTGTTCTGCAGGGGAGCCCTTAATGGCAAGTTCCCATCACCTGGAGGGACAGTGACCTCATCTCTGGGTACTTCCACCTTGAGCCTGAGATGAATCTTTCCTCAAGTCTTGGGGTGAGGTGGGGAGGGATGCTGGGGGTGACATTCCAGGCATGCAGAGGTGAAGGCTCAGAGCCACATGCCACTGACCAAGGGCAGCTGAGACAGAGACATATATGGAAGCCAAGATAAACTGACAGCAAAATATTTACTATGTGTGCAAAGTTCCGCAAGACAAGAATGCGCTGCGTGCATACAGAGGGTGTGACATGCACATGGAATGGTGTGTGCACACACGTTCTCACATACTCATACATAGCTCTTCCCTCTGGACACAGACAAGTAAGTATGGATATGTCCCTAAGAGAAGACATGAACACGTATATGTGCCAAACACCCACCAGTTTATGCAAGGAGACAGCTTCACATGGGTGTGAACCAGCACTAAGACTGACCAGGCCCTCAGCCACAAATCCCCATACACAAAAAACTCATACTTACTCCCTTCCTCCTCGTCACAGACCCACTTCTGGGACCCCTACATTTACCCTTGTAAGTACTAGCAGGGGATACTGATGGAGAAAGGCCCCTCATAAAGAAAAGATACTTTCTTAAAGATGCTCTTGATGGCTGGGTATTGGCAAGTGCCAGCCTCAGTCTCCCCTCCTGAGATCGGAGGCCAGGCTCACACAGAAAGGAAAGTTGGGACCCAGGGACAGGGTGCGGAACAGCCAGCCAGCCCAAACCAGGAATGGAGGGCCTGTCTGGGAGCGGGCGGGGTACACAAAGGGCTGAGCTCCAAAGAGGCCCGTGGGGGCCTGGCCGGGGTGGGGGAGGCCAAGGGCAGGGATCCCGTCTGGCCAGTTGGGCCTGTTCTCTCCCTTGCGCAAGGTGGTGGTGGCTGTGGCTAGGCTTGCTGCTGTGCTGCAGCTTCTGAGTCACCAAGGCTCCTGACCAGCGTCCTGGTGCTCCAGGGAGGTGGGGTGGGAGGGTCAGAGGGAGGAGTGCCCAACCAGCCAGAGTCCACCAGCCTCAGCAAACAATTTGCAACAGAAGGGTCCGTGGGCTTGGCCTGGCCTGGCCACCACATGCCCTCAAGGTGACCTCACCAGGCAGGCAATGTGTCTCCTTTGGTTTGATGACATCATCATGCTGACGCCAGGCTGACACTGGGTGGAGGAGAGGAGGAGGTAGTCCTGGCCTGCCCTGGCCTGGAAGCCTGGACTCCTGGGTCTGCTTAGCCAAGGACAGGGATTCTAGGGCCCAAATTCTGTTTTCTCTCCTCTCATACCCTAGGGTGGCAGAGGGCTAAGCAACTGGAGGAGGGTGTTGCCTCAGGCTGAGATGCTCCTTCTAAATAGTGGATTTAGAACAATGAGGATCTGTGGGAGAGATCCAGAAGAGAATTTCCTGTTTTACTGGGTTCCTCATCTGTAAAGTTTCAGTTTGTCCCCTAGGGGTGGGATCGTGGACTCACAGGTGAGAACATGGAGGATTGAGATTCAGGCATGCGCTGGATACCTAGCGCCTGCTGTGCCCCAAGAAGGTATTTTCCAAGGGAAATATAGGTGATTAGTAATGGGGAGGGAGCAGAAGGTTGACTAGTATAGGAATAGGGATGGAAAATATGCCATCTGACATTGTCTCAGAAACGGTCTTTAGAAGGGTTTGAGTGTCCCAATGGGGCAGGTCTTGGGATCCCTGTGACCTGCACAGACATTGAAGCAGAAGATGTGTTGTGCTGGAGATCCCCTACCCAGGCCCACTTGCAGCCCTTCCTGGCAGCCCTGTTCTCTCCAGCGCAGGAGAAGCCTGGGAGGGGTGCGGGTGGTTAGCTGGACTCCCAGGCTGGGCTGGGTGGGACCAACATCAGCTTAGGCAGGTCAGGGCCCTGGTATCTGGCCCTGCAGGTCTGTCCTGTCCCATCTGGGCCCTCCCAGCACCCAATAGCATCCTTCTTCGCTGTCCTTCTGGCAGCAGGGCCACAGAACCCCTCCTGTGCTCTATGCGCTGCCTCACTAAAACCCTCTGATCCATGCCAGTGGGGCTTCATTTCCCCCTGCCTCCATGCCTGCCTCCTTCCATCCCTGTTTTTTTCCTCTGTCCAGTCTGGAGGTGCTCCCTTTGGCAGTGAAGCCAATTAGCCAGCCCAGCCTATCCTGCCTCCGCCCCGAGGTTACCATGTCAATGCGCTCCCTCCCTGCCCAGCCCAATGCTTGTTCCTCCTCCTTTTTTTTTTTTTTTTGTGGGATGGCATCTCACTTTGTTGCCCAAGCTGGAGTACAGTGGCATGATCTCAGCTCACTGCAACCTCCACCTCCTAGGTTCACCAATTCTCCTGCCTCAGCCTCCAGAGTAGCTGGAGCAACAGGTGCACGTCACCATGCCCGGCTAATTTTTGCATTTTTAGTAGACGTGGGGTTTCACCATGTTGACCAGGATGGTCTCAAACTCCTGACCTCAGGTGATCTGCCCACCTCAGCTTCCCAAAGTGCTGGGTTTAAAGGCGTGAGCCATTGTGCCCAACCTGTTCCTCCTCATTCTACACACTTTGCTTCTGTCTCTCTCATTTATTAATTCACTTGTTCATTCATTCAGTCGGTCAATAAATGTTGACAGAACCCACATACCACTGAGCACTAAGTCAGAAACAATGCTTTGTATGTGATGTGAGACCCAGAAAATAGAGATAAAGAGCCGCAACAGAAGTAAAAGCAGGGTGCTGGGGAGCACAGAGGAAGGGCACCTAATGCTGCCTTAGGTGGGGGTGGGAGGAGGGAGGACTCCTGCAGGAAATGATGTCTAAGCAAAGTCTTAAAGGATGAGTAGGAGCTGCCAGACATAGGGAGGAGGGCATTCCAGGCAGGGGGTAGCTGTGAGCAGAAGTGAGGAAAAACAAGGGGTGTGGTGTGCTGGGCAGAGGCAGGGACAGCACACTGTTGGGAGTTGCTGGGGCACACATTCCAAGGCAAGGAGCTCCTGCCATCCCAACCTGTCCCTCTGCTCTGCCCCCAGGCCCCAGGCCCCATATTTCACTTTTGATTCCATGACTCGAAATTTATTTCTTCCCAACAATGAACATCCTCAGGCACTGTCTCCCTCATAAGTTATTCATCCTAGAAATTGAGGAGCTGTCTTTGAGTCTTTCATCTCCTTCACCTCTCTTTCTGGTCAGTGACCAAATCCCTGTCAAATCTCCCCCTCAAAGCTGTCCCCTCCTCTCCACCCTAGCACTACTGGGCCCGGGCTGCAGCTGCAGCCTTCAGTGACTGCCCCTCACCACTTGCTCATGGCACTGCCTGGCTAAGGAGTCTTCAGTGACTCCCCATTTCCTCTTGACCAAATCTGAATTCCTTTGCTGGTGTGGAAGTTCCCAGGTGATTTGGCCCCACCCTGCCCCAGCCATATTTTCCACGCCTGCTCAACATACACACCCTGTCTTAGGTTGGGTCCTCTCCTCTTTGGTTCCTGAACAAGTCATCTTCTGCCTCTCCTTGGTGTTTGCTCATGGTGGTCCCTGACTTAGAATGCCTTTCTAGGTCTCTCTCCCTCCTGATCCTATCCAGCTCATGCATGGGGCCCTCCAAATGATTAGTCCCATTGTGATTGCCCCATCCCACAGCTGGCCTGTAACACACCCCTGACCACTATATCAGACAGACACACATGTTTCCATATGTGTCTCTATGTGTATCTTTTGCTCCTGAGCAGACCTCAAGTTACATGAGAGCAGGGACTGGATCCTTATTTGCAGATAAGGTTACATGATGGACATCTCTCATTCCAGAATTTCTGAAGGCGTCATTAATATGAAAAAAAAATTGCCCTTTGTACTAGCTCTTTGTCTCTTGTCCTCCGCTTTGGGCTTACCATTCTGACCCCGTAGCTGTGTGTCTGCCCTGACCTCATCTCTCTGGGCCCTTTCTGTTTTCAGTGGCTTGCTCATTCCTGCCTCTGAGCCTTGGTTCATGTCTTTCCTCCCACATGGAATACTTCCTGCACTATGGGAATCCAGGTCTCTCATCTTCAAGCCATGAAAACAATGTTCCAAAGGGCCTACTGGATAGACCCTTCCCATACTATGTCCCCATCCAGATATCAACAGTTTTGGATTCTTGCTGTGGCTCCCAGCCACACTTTCTGAAACTATCCACTTTTTCCTGGTTGGTAGGTTGAACCTCCTCTGAAAGTTTGTCCATGGCTTTCGCTGTTTCTTTGTGTATAAATTCCACTTCCCTGATGCCTGTGACCTCCCTGAGGGCAGAGGCTGGGTCTCCTGTCCTGTTACAGCCTTCCACCTTGCAATTGCTCAGGATCCAACAACCCTAGGCTGCAAGAGGGTGTGAGTCTTCCATAAATGGTCCGTATGGCCGTAGGCAAGCCACTTCCTCTCCCTGGGTCTCAGTTTCCTCATCTGTTAAATGGTGATAATAACACCTACCTCTTGGGAATGTTTTGTAGATTTAATAAGGTAATGAACTGAATGCGCTTTGCAAGCACAAAATGCTCCAGAAGTTCCGGCCGCCTTTCCTGTCATTATCATTATGACTCTGCTCCCCCAGCTCTGGCAGCACCCCTAATCGTGGCCGTTCCTGTCTGCCCCTTGCAGGCCGGTGCCCAGCGGGTGAGCTGGAGACTTCGGACGTGGTGACTGTGGTGCTGGGCCAGGACGCAAAACTGCCCTGTGTCTACCGAGGGGACTCCGGCGAGCAGGTGGGGCAAGTGGCGTGGGCTCGGGTGGACACAGGCGAAGGCGCCCAGGAGCTAGCGCTACTGCACTCCAAATACGGGCTTCATGTGAGCCCGGCTTACGAGGGCCGCGTGGAGCAGCCGCCGCCCCCACGCAACCCCCTGGACGGCTCGGTGCTCCTGCGCAACGCAGTGCAGGCGGACGAGGGCGAGTACGAGTGCCGGGTCAGCACCTTCCCCGCTGGCAGCTTCCAAGCGCGGCTGCGACTCCGAGTGCTGGGTAAGTGGGGCTCTCTGTGTGTGGTCTGGGCTGCTGTGTTGCAGAGGCTCCAGGACTCAAGGCTTGGGGTTTCGGAGGGGAAAAGCTGGAGTCAGGCGGAAGCAGAGATGGGAACTGCAGAGATGGATGGGGCAGAGGTAGAACAGGAATAAAAAGTAGTGTCCTCAGCCGGGCGCGGTGGCTTAAGCCTGTAATCCCAGCACTTTGGGAGGCCTAGGCGGGTGCATCACGAGGTCAGGAGTTCAAGACCAGCCTGGCCAACATGGTGAAACCCCGTCTCTACTAAAAATACAAAAATTAGCTGGGCATGGTGATGTGTGCCTGTAATCCCAGCCACTTGGGAAACTGAGGCAGGACAATTGCTTGAATTGGGACTCGGGAGGCGGAGGTTGCAGTGAGCAGAGATCGCACCACTGCCCTCCAGCCTGGGCTACAGAGCGAGACTCCGTCCCCCACCCCACCCCCGGCTCCCAAAAAAGTAGGGTCCTGTACGGGTGAGGGAGCTTCCTCCAGCCAGCTGTCCTCGCACCCTATCCAGAAATTCTCTCCAAGTAACCGCAAAAACTGGGGAAGAATCCATTTATTAGGAAGTTCTTTCTTCCGACGACTTGAAACTCCCTCTCTGTTACTTTTGCCCTGTGGCAATATGGCAATATGGCAATATGGCGCTGGCTGTCTTCACAACAACCTTTCCAAAGCAGAGGTTCTTTGTCATGCCCCGCCCAAATCTACTCTTCTCCAAGCTAAGCTTCCTGGTTGCTGCCACAGTTCCACCAAAGACAGTTTCCAAGCCTCCCTCGCCATTCTGGGCTCCAGGGGTTTTTCAATGTGGGTCCCGGATATAGACACAGGCCCAGCTATGGTTTTGGCCATAGGCCACCAGTGGGGCTAATACCTTCCTTGATATGGACCTTCAGTGAATGTGGTCTGAGATCACAACCACTTTTTAAACCACCACTTTGTATTGTGGGGACTTGTGGCCAACCCTGGACTTATGGTCAAGTTAAGTCTTTTCCATTCTGTGTTAATGTTTTGAAGAAAAAAATAAAGGTTTTTGGCTGGGTATGGTGGCTCATGCCCTGTAATCCCAGCACTTTGGGAGGCAGAGGTGGGCAGGTCACTTGTGGTCAGGAGTTCAAGACCAGCCTGGCCAACACAGTGAAACCTCATTTCTACTGAAAATACAAAAATTAGCCAGGCGTGGTGGCACGCACCTGTAATCCCAGCTACTCCAGAGTCTGAGGCAGGGGAATCGCTTGAACCCAGGAGGCGGAGGTTGCAATGAACCAAGATTTGCCGCTGCACTCCAGCCTGGGCAATAGACGGAGACTCAGTCTCAAATAAAAAAAAAAAAAAAAAAAAAAAAAAACAAGTATAAACTAGGCTTTATCACCTAATAGCTGATGACCTGAGACAAGTCACTTAGCTTCCTTGAGCTTTGGTTTCCTCATCTGGAAAATAGAGATAATAATACCAAACGCACTGTTTGTTGACAGAATTCGAGATAACATTTATAAAGTATTTAGCATAATAGTTGACACATAGTAAGTGCTTACTAGATGGTGGCTATTATATCATTATTACGTAGATGATATCTGGTTAGTTTTTAAATTACTTCATTATTTTTATTTTAAAAAATGACCCATGTTGATTGTAAAAAAATTCACACAGTGGAGAAGGATACAAAGTCACCTGAATTTCTACCACTCATCTGTGTCTCCATTAAATAAGAGAAGGAAAGGGGGCCTGAAAGTTTGCACTTGTGCAAAATTGAAACGGGATGAGCGGGGGCCTCCTGACAGGAGTTGTGCAGACCCGTGACTCCTGCCTTTCACCATCTGCAGTGCCTCCCCTGCCCTCACTGAATCCTGGTCCAGCACTAGAAGAGGGCCAGGGCCTGACGCTGGCAGCCTCCTGCACAGCTGAGGGCAGCCCAGCCCCCAGTGTGACCTGGGACACAGAGGTCAAAGGCACCACATCCAGCCGTTCCTTCAAGCACTCCCGCTCTGCCGCCATCACCTCAGAGTTCCACCTGGTGCCTAGCCGCAGCATGAATGGGCAGCCATTGACTTGTGTGGTGTCCCATCCTGGCCTGCTTCAGGACCAAAGGATCACCCACATCCTCCACGTGTCCTGTAAGTACTTGGATGCTTGGGTAGGGAGGCCCAAGGGGCTCTAAGTGGATTGGTGAGACACCGTAGGTCCCTGAGCCACACCAGGCTGGCCAGCCTCGGTCCTGGAGGCTACAGTGTGTGAGAGAGCACTAGTCCAAATGTGGAAGACCTGAAGCCCGATTCCAGATGATAGACCTCTCTGAGCTTCTGTGTCTTTATCTTTACAAAGGAGATTGCCCAGCTTCACTGGGTTGTTGGGAAAATCAGCCATAAACACGGAATTGAAAGCACTTTGTAAAATGTTGGTTTAGGGTTTGGAGACAGATAAACTTAGGCAAACCCTAGTTCTACTTCCCAGCTGTCATTCAGTCCTGTTAGGCTTCATTTTCTTCATCAGCAAAGTATAATTAATTATACTCATACCAACTTTAGAGGTTTTGATGGGAATTAGAAACTGAACACAGAGCAACTTGCACAGTGCTCAGCGCATTGAAGGCATTTGGTAAATGGTAGATATTGTTTTCTCAGTGTTCAATTTCAAGCCTCTGGAGGGGATAAGACTGTTTTCAGCATTTGGCTCAAAGTAGGTCCTCAACAAATGTTTGCTGAATAAATGAATGAACTAGTAGGATTGTTACACCTTTGAAGAATCAGGCAACATTTATTGAGCACCTGTTCTGTGACTAGCACTATGCTAGGCACCACAGGACATCCAGAACATGTGTGACGGATCACTGCCTTGAGGGACTTATGGTCTCACTGTGCAGGTAAACCAACATAGACTCTCTGAGCTTAGAGAGGGGAGGGAACAGTGTGGCCAGGAGCCATCAGCGGGGTGGGGTTGCGCTAGGTTTGGCAGCAGATGAGTAGGATGGAGAAGGACAAGGGGAGCCTATTTCAGGCAGGGTGGGGTGGGGGCAGGGCCCTTTGAGGTACCACATGATCAAAGGCATCATTCCCATTCTTTCCTCTCCCACCTCCCATTCCAGTCCTTGCTGAGGCCTCTGTGAGAGGCCTTGAAGACCAAAATCTGTGGCATGTTGGCAGAGAAGGAGCTATGCTCAAATGCCTGAGTGAAGGGCAGCCCCCTCCCTCATACAACTGGACAAGGTAAGGGCCCCAGCCCGGGGAAGGACTAACTGGAGACTACGTTCCTCCCCTCTCAGGGCCAGGATATACTCACTATGGGATGGGACAGTATATTCTGGGCCCCAAATAAATTGGGATATGTGTTCAGATCCCTTGCATTATTATACTCATTATATAAGAATGTGCATGGTCACCAAATATTATTGGCCTGCCCAGGGAATTTAAGATACATGGTCATTAATAGGGAATAAATGGATAAGCCCTTACATTTTTTGTCTTTCATTTTTATTTATTTATTTTTTTGAGACGGAGTCTTGCTGTGTCGCCCAGGCTGGAGTGCGGTGGTGCAATCTTGGCTCACTGCAACCTCCACTTCCTGGGTTCAAGAGATTCTCCGGCCTCAGCCTCCTGAGTAGCTGGGACTACAGGTGTGTGTAAGCACGCCCAGCTAATTTTTTGTATTTTTAGTAGAAACGGGTTTTCACCAAGTTGACGATGCTGGTCTCAAACTTCTGACCTCAGGTGATCCACCCGCCTCGGCCTCCCAAAGTGCTGGAATTATAAGTGTGAGCCACCATACCCAGCCTTGTCTAACTTTTAAACTGTGAAATATAACACGATATTTTGATATTAATATTTTATATATTTATGTGAGTGCGTAAAGTGCACAAGACAGCTGTGTCTTTTTGTAATTGTTGTTAAGCTGGCACTGCTGTAACCACCACAATATTGGCAGCACCTCGAAAACACCTACTACCTCCAGTTCCCTCAAGGCATCCTTGGCCTTCCTCCAAGGCCTGAAATAGCTAGAGAGTCAGGGAGAGGTTGGGTACACATGTGTGTCAGCCCATGACAGGCATGTTCTCATGTGAGCATATGAGTGATGCATGTGGCCCTGTGCCTGGGGCTATGCTCATGTGTCCTGCCATGCGATGTCATGGGTGTTGGAGCATGCAGTCACATTTTCCAATTACCTCTGCACCCAGCGATGAGTGGGGTGTCCTCCTGTGTGGACTTTATAACATGTGTACCTGGTACCCAGTGCTGGATGACGTGATGCCTGTGGAAGCATGTGGGATGGCACACGTGTGGATCTTCCCCGGGTGTGTGTGGGGGGTGCCCAGGTCAGGCTGGGCAGCAGGGAGAAGGGACCTCTGCCTAGACCTGCCTGGCGGAGGGAGGGGTACCGTGGGAACAGCTGGCGGCTCTGGGTGACGTCATGGGGGTGGAGGGTGGAGAGCTGTCTGGGCACGTTGGGTAGTGGTGGCTTCAGCCCTCCCAGCCAGCACCCTTCAGCTTCCCTGTTTTCCAGGCTGGATGGGCCTTTGCCCAGTGGGGTACGAGTGGATGGGGACACCTTGGGCTTTCCCCCACTGACCACTGAGCACAGTGGTACCTACGTCTGCCATGTCAGCAATGAGTTTTCCTCCAGGGATTCTCAGGTCACCGTGGATGTTCTTGGTAAGCACTGAGGCAGAAGAAACAAGGGACCTGGGCCAAGGGCTTGGTGGGGGCACCAGGAAGCAAGACAGACAGTGAACTGGGAAAGTGTTTATTCAGAGGGGGCTGGACTGTGTGTCTTTTGCAGAGAGTCAAACCGAGGTGTGGTTTGGGATGTTTTCAGGGGAGCTGTGAGGTCTGGGGTGGGTCGTGGCTGCAGGCGTCCACCTCAGACAGTGGCCTGTCTCCAGCAGACCCCCAGGAAGACTCTGGGCAGCAGGTGGACCTAGTGTCGGCCTCGGTGGTGGTAGTGGGTGTGATCGCCGCCCTCTTGTTCTGCCTTCTGGTGGTGGTGGTGGTCCTCATGTCCCGATACCATCGGCGCAAGGCCCAGCAGATGACCCAGAAATAGTGAGTACTGGCCACTCCTGGGCGGGGAGAACTAAGCTGAGAACAAAGAAGAAGATAGCAGGAGGTGGGGCAGGACCGAGGAGACTGGGTGGCCTCAAAACTGAGGCACTTCAGACTAGAGGTGGCAGGGTCTTTCTAGAGCCGAGGAGGAGCTCAGGGTCTGGAGCACAGATGGAGCTCTCAATCCTTCCATCCGAGTGCGGGTCAGATCCGTGTGCCCGGGTGTCACCAAGTGTGCACACGCACACAGCACACACATGCTCTCCAGCCGCACTGCCACCTGCAGCCACACACTCACACATGCAGGGCTGGCACAGTACCCACACCATCCAGGCCTGTGTCACTGGGCTCGGCCAGGCGAGGCTCCCCTTGGGAGGCTGCCACTACCCTCAGCTCCTGACAAGGCTGTGTCTTTCCCAGTGAGGAGGAGCTGACCCTGACCAGGGAGAACTCCATTCGGAGGCTGCATTCCCATCACACAGATCCCAGGAGCCAGGTGAGCGCCAGGGTTGGGTGCATGTGTGCAGGGTGTGGTTGTACTGGGGTCTGCTTGTGCCTGGGCCCCTCTGCAGACCAGGAGCACAGCTCTCTGCTGAGTCAGCCGCTGACTTGCAGCTGGGGCTGGCTGGGGTAGAGGTGAGAGGGTGGAGCTGCTTTGGGTCTGCTAGGACCGCTCTGGAAGGCCCCCTTCAGCACTGGCCTGGGGACTTCTCTGGGAAGCCACCATCAGTGCTGCTTCCAGGGTGGGTTTGGGGTGGCAGTGGGAAAATGGGGATGTTTGTTTCCAGGAGAGAATGGACCTGTTGGGTTGGGGGCAGGCGAGTAGGGAGGAGGCTGGTGGAGGACAAGAGGGGAAGAGGCTGAGCTCTGTTCTAACTCCCCATGTCTGGGCCCTGCAGCCGGAGGAGAGTGTAGGGCTGAGAGCCGAGGGCCACCCTGATAGTCTCAAGGACAACAGTAGCTGCTCTGTGATGGTGAGGCCCCCGGCCCCACCGGTGTCCCCACCACTCTCCTTAGGCCCCTGTCCTGGTCCCAGATATGGTGCGTCAGCAGCCCCCTCACCATCCCTCTCGCCGTAGCCCTGGCTCACGCAGCCCCGCACCGCACCTCTGCTCTCCCGTCTCCCCCTCCCCATGCCTAACACTCGTTCCTGGTCCCCCATCTCTGAGCCCCTATGCTTCTGAGGCAACCATTCCCCCTGCTTATGCCTGGCCTCTGATCCCACCGTGACCCAGCCATGCCCCTCCACGTCCAGCCGCCCTGCCTTGGTTCCTGACTTGCCCTCTGCCCTTGGCCTCCAGAGTGAAGAGCCCGAGGGCCGCAGTTACTCCACGCTGACCACAGTGAGGGAGATCGAAACACAGACTGAACTGCTGTCTCCTGGCTCCGGGCGGGCCGAGGAGGAGGAAGATCAGGATGAAGGCATCAAACAGGCCATGAACCATTTTGTTCAGGAGAATGGGACCCTACGGGCCAAGCCCACGGGCAATGGCATCTACATCAACGGGCGGGGACACCTGGTCTGACCCAGGCCTGCCTCCCTTCCCTAGGCCTGGCTCCTTCTGTTGACATGGGAGACTTTAGCTCATCTTGGGGGCCTCCTTAAACACCCCCATTTCTTGTGGAACAGGCTCCCCATCCCACCGACTGTTCGACCTTTACCTCCAACCCTTCTGTTCATCGGGAGGTCTCCACCGATTGAATCTCTCCCACCAGGCGTGCAGGTCACTGTGTGTGTGCGCGTGCCTGTGTGAGTGTTCACTGACTGTGTGTGGGGGGCGACTGTGTCCGTGGTGTGTGCTGTGCTGTCAGATCACAGTCAAGTGAATTGTGGTGTTTGTGCCACAGGGTTTGAGTGGCTGTGTGGGGAACACTATCAGGGTTTGGCGTGTATGTTGTGTGGCTGTATGCGACCTCTGCCTGAAAAAGCAGGTGTTTTTTTCAGACCCCAGAGCAGTATTAATGATGCAGAGGTTGGAGGCGAGAGGTGGAGACTGTGGGTCAGACCCAGGTGTGCGGGCAGAGCTGGAGCTGGAATCTGCCTCCAGTGTGAGGGAGCCTGGCTCCCCACTTGGGAGCGCTGGGGGCAAGTGTGAAGCAGCCAGTCCCGGGGTCAGCCAGAGGCTTGAACTGTTATGGAAGAAGCCCTCTGCCCTCTGGTGGCCTCTGGGCCTGCTGCATGTACATATTTTCTGTAAATAAACCTGCACTGGGAGCTTCTTGCAGGAATACTGCTCCGAATTGTTTTTAATTTTTTCTTTTTTTTTTCTTGCCCTTTCCAATAGTTGTATTTTTTATTTATTTTTATTTTTATTTTTTAGAGATGGGGGGGGTCTCACTATGTTGCTCAGGCTGGCCTTGAACTCCTGGGCTCAAGCAATCCTCGCCTCAGCCTCCCTAATAGCTGGGACTTTAGGTGTACACCACTGTGCCTGCTTTGAATCCTTTAATAAGAGAAATAAAATTATCCAATGTTTACTACTGGGATTGCTTAAAGTGAGCCCCCCTGCCCTGGGGGGTTAATTCCTGTGATTGTGAAAGGGGCTCCTTCCAAGGCATCCCCTTGGGGGGGCGCCTGAGAGCCGGTGGAGTCTGGCATTAGGGATGTGAGCCTCGTGAGGCTAAAGTTGGTAAGGTAAAGTTGCATCCATAGTTGTTTGTGATACCCTGGGGAGTTGCTTGAACTTGGTGACAAGGCTCCTGTTCAATGGTGGTGTGGGAGAGAGACAGCAGTGATTATAGACCGAGGGAGTAGTTCAGCTGAGGTGAAAGAGGTGATGGGGCAGAGAATGTCGCCTTTCACTCTGGGTTTCTGGATCACTAATTCAAGGCTCTTCTGGATGTTTCTCTGGGTGTGGGGTGGAGTTCTACGCGGTTTATTTTTAGCTGGCCTACCCAGATACACTCAGCAGAATACCTAGATTCAGTACCCAAACCCTTCTTAGTCTGAAATCTGCTGGATTTCTGGCCTAAAGGAGAGGCTCCCATCCTTTGTTCCCCAGCCAGCCTACGACTCTGAATGTGGAGACTGAAGATCTAAGATCCTAATATGTACATTTTGTGTAAATATGTGCATATTTGTACATAAACAATATTCTGTTTTTAAATAAACAGACAAAACTTGTTCTGTCTGGTTTCTGTCTTGCCCCTTGAACTGTGTAAGCTCTGAGTCACACGCTGTCTGTCTCAGGACCATCCTTCCTGAAGTCTCAAGTAGGCGAGGACTTAGGATGCCTGTAGCTGGGAGGGAAAGGGAAAGAATTGGCCTCCACAAGGCCTTTGGCTATCCCCAGGTAGGAGAGTGGAGCTAAGGACCTTTTCCAGGATAGCTAGTGCCTTAGTTGGCAAAGCGTTTTAAATTCTTTTGTGTGTGTGTGTGTGTGTGTGTGTGTGTGTGTGTGTGTGTGTGGTTTTTTTTTTTTTTTTTCTTTAGAGTCTCGCTCTTTTGCTCAGGCTGGAGTGCAGTGGCACGATCTAAGCTCACTGCAACCTCTGACTCTGGGGTTCAAGCGATTCTCTTGCCTCAGCTTTCCAGTAGCTAAGATGACAGGCGCCCACCCCCATGCTCAGCTAATTTTTGTATTTTTAGTAGAGATGGAGTTTCACCATATTGGCCAAGCTGATCTCTAACTCCTGACCTCAGGTGATCCACCTGCCTCGGCCTCCCAAAGTGCTGGGATTACAGGCGTGAGCCACCATTCCTGGCCTGAATTCTTTATTGTACTGGAGACTCAACAACAGCTATGTGAAATAGGCAGCAGTGTACGTTTTTTACAGGTAAATAAACTGAAACTCAAGTTAAATGAGTTTTACAGACTGTTAGAGGTGGGAGGATTTAAACGTCCATGAGTTCGCTCCCTCCATTTTCCTGGGTGTGGAAACTGAGGCTCACTGAAGTCATGTGATTTGACTTAGGTGCTAGGCTCATCAGGCAGGGCCCAGGCAGCCTCCCTCATGAGTGTGCTTTTGTGTCACCTTGCTCCTGGTCAAGCCCCAGGTCTCTAACTTGGACCCAAGAATTCTAGTCTCTAAGGGAATTGGTCACCTGCTCACACCCCAGACACCATCACCCCACCCCAGGGCTCTGACATCACCTCCCCTGACCAATGAACGAAGTCCAAGCAATGGGTGAGGATGTGAATGTCAGCTACCTCCCCCACCCTGTGGTTGCAAAGATGCTCTAACAGGAAGTGGGTTAAGGAGCTGCACTGCTTCCTGCCCCCAAAAGCTGAGCGGGGCAAGAAGGGCGAGTGCCAGCCTGGGCCACGAGACACAGGACACAGTTTCTTGCCAGGGTCCTGGCAGCTTCCTCTTCAACAGCCACTTCCGTGTGGCCAGAACCCCAGAGGCAGGAGCTGCTGCCTGTTGCCCAGGCCACCCTCCACCCCCAGTTGGGAGCCCTGCCCCCCTGGGGCCGGGCCAAGCCCAGCAGCTAGCTGGGATCCCATGGGGGACTGGTAGGGACCAGGTCTTGGGAGATAGAGGTAATCGGGCCAGTGCCCTGGAGCTCTGGCCATGAAGTCTCGGCAGAAAGGAAAGAAGAAGGGCAGCTCCAAGGAGCGGGTGTTTGGGTGCGACTTGCAGGAGCACCTGCAGCACTCAGGCCAGGAGGGTAAGGAGGCCGCTCAGCTGCTGTGGGTGGGTTGGGAGGCACTGAACGTCTGCAGCCCGATCCAGCCTAAGGGGCAGAAGCAGCTTCGAAGTGCTCCTAGGGAAGAGGCAGTAGCCTGGGTTTGCCATTCAAGAGAACTGTAAGCAGGCAAGACAGGAAGGGTGGCTGCCTTGTGTAGCTTTCTGAGGATGGGTGGATGAGGGGATGAGAATGTAAGCACCCACAGAGCAATGAGGGGGAGGATGGAGAGATTGGAAACCCAGGAAGGGTGGATGAAACAGTGGGCAGGTGACTGGGAACAGGAGAGGGAGGTTGAGGCGACAGGGTCAGGAGGGGAGTGGCTGAAAGGGCAGTGATCTGAATGAAAGGAGACAGGGAAGGGCCCCAGAAGGGTCTCAGGATGGCCCTTGAAGCAGGTGGTTTTCTGGCTGGAGAACACCCAGGGACGAGGTCGTAGGCTGTTCCCACTGCAGCCTCGCTGGGTTGCAGGGAAAGATGTGGGGCTGGAAACAGCCTCCTTCCCCAGTCTCTGTGATTCTCTTGTTCTCCCTGTACAAAAGAGAAACAAGCTCAAAGTGGGGGCCAAGGGGAGACACTGCTGAAATGGGGAAGAATGAAAGAAAGCGTGAGGCCTGGCTTGAAGCCGGAGGTGCAGAGTACAAAGGAGGGTGCGTGTGCAGCTGTCTGTGAAGCTTACCTAGCTCCCTCCCTGGGTTACCTTGGAGTGGGCTCTGAAGCCAGAAGGACCAGGGACAATATCAGGTTCACAGCAGAGCCCGACATGGAGCAGCCACTCAAAATCATTTCTTAATTCGATTTGAAATCAAACCCAGGTATCCTGGCTGCCCAGCCTAGCTTGTTTTTGGCACTTCAGGCTCCTCCTAGAGAAGGGCACAATTCTTTCCCCACTCTACCCCATCCCACCCCACCCCAATCTGTCATTTCCTCTTTGTCCCCTCCTCTGCTCTGGGCTGTGGTGCTTGCAGTGGAGGCAGGGTGATGGTGGTTCCCAGATCATTTCCTGCTCTTAGCCCCACCCCTGCACCCCTCCTTCCCCTTTTCTCCTCCCGCGAGAGGACCCGTATCCCCATTAGCCTTGGTTAAGGGAAAGCCCAAACCCCAAGGACGAATGTGAAGTGGCTGAAGCAAACTTCTCTGAGCCTTCCTCTTCTCATTGGGCAGAGCGGAGGTGGCACAGCCATGAGTGCCAGGCTTACTCCTTTCTAAGGGATTCCTCTCAAGAGCTATGATTCTTGGCCAAGGACCATGAGATTTAATTGGGGGTGTTGTCCTCCCAGCTCAAGGCAAACCCTCAGTTCAGCCTTTCCTGGTACTGCCCTTTCCTGTGGTCCACTAACCATCCCTATCTTGAAGCACTGAACCCACAGCCAGACCAGCCTCTGCCTGCATTCCCAGCAGGGAAGGGGCACGCTCTCTAGAGGGGACAGACATCTGATTGCTGAGTCCTGATCCTAGCTGAATCTCAGCGCAGGGGACTAGAACCTCACCTGAGCCCAAGGGTGGGGTGATCTTGGGCACCAAAATAGCAGTGGTGGCCGCTTCCCTATCCCCCAAGTCTTCCCGGTACAGAGAGGTAGAAAGTGAAAGGAAGGACAGAGAGAGGCTGGTGATGGTTCTCTTTAACCCAATAGCCACAAAAACACGAAAGCAAGGAGATGTGTTTCCGGTTGCTTTATCATCCCCGGTCATCTTGGTCTCCCCCATCCTCACAACCTTGCTCCATCTCAACCCTCTCTCCAGCTCTTTGCCCCATATGGGTCTCTTCCTTCCCTACGCCCTATATGTACTGAGTTCTTTCTTTTCCTAATCTTCGATAGATTGTTCGGATTTCTAATTCTCCAGGTCCCTAAGCTTTGGGCCCTCCTCCCTGAACCTACCCTCATTTCCTCATGTCTCCCCCCCTTTGACTTCATCCCTCTAACCCTGTCTGTAGCCTTTATCTCTGACATTATCTCTCTGATCTCTAGCTCCCTAACTCCCCCATCTCAGTGGCCCTGTGGTCTCTTCCCCCATCTCCTTGACCCAGTTCCTCTATGGCTGTGATTCCTTAGGCTCTTGAGTGTCGTCTTTAAAGGACTCTGGAGGTTCAAAATCAACAGAGGACAGGATGGAGAAGACCTGGTTTGGATGCTACTCATGTGACAAAAGCCTGGTGGTTTAGGTGACAGCAGAGTATTTATGAGTCAAAAGAGTTGGCTTAGCATTGGGCACCCAAGAGTACAGCAGCAGCTCAAACAAGGAGGGCCTGTCCCAGCTCTGCATTCATCACGGGGAACCTGAGGTCAGAGGGATCCTAGAAAACGGGAGCGGGTACTGAAAGGATGGATGGTGAACTGTAGGGCTGAGACTAAGGACAGGCAAGAGAGGTGACTAGGGTGCAAAATTTAAGGAAGCATTCACTTTCAGGGTCCTACAAGTGCTCTAGGTGCCTTTTTTTTTTTTTTTTTTTTTTTTTTTTTTTGTGGGTGTTTTTTTTTTTTTTTTTTTTTTTTTTTTTTTTTCTGAGATGGAGTCTTGCTCTGTCACCAAAGCTGGATTGCAGTGGTATGATCTTGGCTCCCCGCGACCTTTTCCTCCCAGGTTCAAGCAATTCTCCCTGCCTCAGCCGCCTGAGTAGCCAGGACTACAGGTGTGCGCCACCATGCCTGGCTAAGTTTTGTATTTTTAGTAGAAACAGGGTTTTGCCATTTAGTCAGGCTGGTCTTGAACTCCTGAGCTTAGGTGATTCACACACCTCAGCCTCCCAAAGTGCTGGGATTACAGGTGCATTCTTAAGAACGTACTCAAGACCAAGCATGGGCACCGTTGGCATTTGTGTGGCCCTGAGAATAAGTGCGTCCTTAAATTTTGCACACTAGATGCTTCCATAATCCCACCCAACTCCTGCCTGTGGTGTACAGGAAGATGAAGAGCTTGGAAGCCAGGTTGTATGAGGAGACTTGAAAGATTGTGATTGGCCAGGCCCAGTGGCTCACGCCTGTAATCCCAGCACTTTGGGAGGCCAAGGCAGGTGGATCACTTGAGGTTAGGAGTTCGAGACCAGCCTGGCCAACATGGTGAACCCCCATCTCTACTAAAAATACAAAAATTAGCTGGGAATGGTGGTGTTCGCCTGTAGTCCCAGCTACTCGGGAGACTGAGGCTGCAGTGAGCCAAGTTTGCACCACTGCATTGCAGCCTGGGCAACAAATTGAGACTTCATCTCAAAAGAAAGAAAGAGAAAAGGGCCAGGTGCTGTGGCTCACACCCATAATCCCTGCACTTTGGGAGGCCGAGGTGGGCCAATCACCTGAGATCAGGAGTTTGAGGCCAGACATAGAGAAACCCTCTCTCTACTAAAAATTCAAAATTAGCCAGGCGTGGTGGCACATGGTTGCAGTAGGCTCAGATCTTGCCATTGCACTCCAGCCTGGGCAACAAGAGGAAAACTCTGTTTAAACAAAAAAAAAAAAAAAAAAAAAAAAAAAAAAAAAAAAAAAAAAAAAAAAAGAAAGAA